CTCTCTCTCTCTCTCTTTCTCTAAACCTTTATCTCTCCCTCTCTTTCTCTAATTTTTTCCCACTCTCTCTCTTTCTCTCTCTATCTCTTTCTCTCTCTTTCTCTCTCTCTCTCTCTAACTCTTTCTCTCTCTGTCTCTCTCCTCTCTATTTCTCCATTTCTCTCTCTCTTTTTCTATTTCTTTCTCTCTCTCTCTCTCCCCCTCTCTCTCTCTCTCTCTCTCTCTCTCTCTCTCTCTCTCTCTATATATATATATATATATATATATATATATATATATATTTCTTTCTATAACTCTCTCTCTCTCTCTCTTTCTCTAAACCTTTATCTCTCCCTCTCTTTCTCTAATTTTTTCCCACTCTCTCTCTTTCTCTCTCTATCTCTTTCTCTCTCTTTCTCTCTCTCTCTCTCTAACTCTTTCTCTCTCTGTCTCTCTCCTCTCTATTTCTCCATTTCTCTCTCTCTTTTTCTATTTCTTTCTCTCTCTCTCTCTCTCTCTCTCTCTCTCTCTCTTTCTCTGTCTTTCGCTCTCTCTCTCTATATATATATATATATATATATATTATATATATTTATAGAAATAGTGTCAACCATTTTTGTCTTTACACAACTTGAATGAGAAAGTAAGGTTATAGGATAGTATATAACCATTTTTATCTTTACACAACTTGAATGAGAAAGTAAGGTTATAGGATAGTATATAACCATTTTTGTCTATGCACAACTTGAATGAGAAAGTAAGCTTATAGGATAGTATATAACCATTTTTGTCTTTACACAACTTGAATGAGAAAGTAAGGTTATAGGATAGTATATAACCATTTTTGTCTTTACACAACTTGAATGAGAAAGTAAGGTTATAGGATAGTATATAACCATTTTTTGTCTTTACACAACTTGAATGAGAAAGTAAGCTTATAGGATAGTATATAACCATTTTTGTCTATGCACAACTTGAATGAGAAAGTAAGGTTATCTAAGAGTGACTATAACAAGATCGTTCATTGCTTCTGTCACACTCTAGTACAAGGAGTGGCGTCGACCAGGCTTTCAACAGGAGCCGCCAATAACAGGCTTTGTGAGTAGAACATGTGTGTGTTGTCGAGGTTATTGTTTTGTTGTTGTTGTTGTTTTAGGCCTATGCCATGCCACGTGATTTGGATGTTATATCAATAATACATTACATCCGTTGTCGGGAAGGGACAGGAAAGTGGCGTCTGATGGGGTATAGAACTACGTAAAAGTGGGGGGGGGGGGGTTTGATCTAATACGCTTACGTGTTCATTAATGTGTGAGCCAATGAGGCACAAGACTTTTACCGGTTAGTCAAAAGGATACACTGTCGAGTGAGTTGGGTGGAGCTATGGCTCTGGTACAGGTTGACCCACATACCAATCGTAGGACTAAAAATTTCGGACCATTAAATACCGGTAACTTTACACCAGCTTGTTAACTCCACTTAAAGACGTGGCTTTAACTCTTCAGTACTCAGAACAATGAGGTTCTTAGAGGAATTAAATACAAAATATTGATGCGTCAAAAACTAAAAATGTGTGAGGACAATGTCTGTCTAAGAAAAAAGAACAACCACAGGTTGAGAGTGGATACATCCGTGAAACGCTGGAAATTACTGCCATGGTATACGCACCATTGGGAATCTTACAGGAACAGCGCGCACAAGCATTTTAACATCGCACACACATATTTTAACAGAACACACACACATTTTAACAGAGCACACACATATTTTAACAGAACACACACACATTTTAACAGAGCACACACATATTTTAACATAGCACACAAACATTTTAACAGAACACACACACACACATTTTAACAGAGCACACAAACATTTTAAAATTGTGTACATATATTTCACTGAACGGACTTGAAATCTGGCCTGGTGTTTAGCAGCACTGGTTACGTAAGACGTGAGAAATAACCAACGTGACATAGTGCAATGTATCTTTATTTTTATTTTTCAATGTTTTACTTTGCTTGGTTTGTACAGGAAACTCTCTGAGCTTAAAATGTGATTATTAAAAGTTGAACAGTTCCATGTCTCATTTAGATCACCACTCCACCAAATGTTAATAATTTGGCGGTACCTTTCTCTAGAATCCCAAATTTGCCTCCGATCTGGACCTGGACGGGAGCGGAAGTGGTGAAGACAGCGGTGACGGCGGTGCGAGTGGAAACAATGGCGGAAACAGTGGCGGAAACAGTGGCAGTGGTAGCGGCGGAGATGGTGGCGGGGAATGCCTGCCAGGGGGCGACGTGGATGCCGAGGAAGATGACTCCTGGGGTGAGCCGGAAGACTTGAGTGACGACCCTGGTGTGAATTTTACGCTGGACTACGACAACTTCGCCACAATCTCGCTTCCTGACTTCTCGTTGTCTCTCGGCTTCAGGGCGCCGAATTTTGGAAAAGTTAACGGGAACCAAGTCTCGGGAATGTTCGTAGAGTACACGGGTGACCCAAGTGAGTAGACCCGGGGTTCGTGTCATACGATATTCCCTGTAGTTTGTGGTGACCCAAGTGAGTAGACCCGGGCTTCGTGTCATATGATATTACCTGTAGTTTGTGGTGACCCAAGTGAGTAGACCCGGGCTTCGTGTCAGATGGTATTCCCTGGAGTTTGTGGTGACCCAAGTGAGTAGACCCGGGCTTCGTGTCATATGATATTACCTGCAGTTTGTGGTGATTAAGTGAGTAGACCCGGTCCTCGTGTCATAATGATATCACCTGTAGTTTGTTGTTGGTCTGATGAAGTTTTCATCTGGCGCTGTTTAAATGGCGTAGCTAGGGTAAGTGCCCCCTAGTACGGACCACGGTTTTTTCTTCTGCCCCGTTCCACGACAAAGCGTTGCAGTTGGCCGAAAATGGAAAAAGTGCACCACGGGTGGGACCTCCCCCCCCCCCCAAGTTTATTGGAATCTGAGAAAAGTCAATTGTTTTGCAGTATTGTAAATTTATATAAAATTATTTATTTATTTTTCAAATGAAACTTACATTTTTTAATTTTAAAATNCCCAAGTGAGTAGACCCGGTCCTCGTGTCATAATGATTATGACCTGCAGTTTGTGGTGACCCAAGTGAGTAGACCCGGTCCTAGTGTCATAATGATATGACCTGTAGTTTGTTGTTGGTCTGATGAAGTTTTCATTTGGCGCTGTCTAAATGGCGTAGCTAGGGTAAGTGCCGCCTAGGACGGACCACGGATTTTTCTTCTGCCCCGTTCCACGACAAAGCGTTGCAGTTGGCCGAAAATGGAAAAAGTGCCCCACGGGTCAGACCCGCCCCCCCCCCCCGCAGTCTTTTCCAATCTAAGAATAAATGGTTTTATTATGTTGGATTATTTTTTAGCAAATTTAAATCGATTACTTTTAATAGGTGATTGATCGAAATTGGACTGATCTTGTTTATTATCCGTAGAAATTGCCTAAACTTATTTGTAAAGTAGATATCGATGTTTAATTAAAGAATATGATTTTTTTTTTTAAATATGTTTACTAGTTTTGAAAGCAAGGCCGAGTTACTATTTTAAAGACAACATGTATTAATAGTCTTTTGAACATCCCCCCCCTTTCCCCAACCCCCCCTACTTTTACCATTCGCTTCTTCAAAGATTTAAAAGTAGTAAGTTTATTGGAATATAAGAGTAGTCAATTGTTTTGCAGTATTGTAAATTTATATAAAATTATGTATTTATTTTTCAAATGAAACTTTTATTTTTTTAATTTTAAAATAATGCTGAAGACCAGGTATTCTTCTTCTTCTTCTATATCTTAAGGGCCCACGATCAATTTATTGATCATTTTGGCTCCTATTTCTACCAACCGTTTGAGTATTCAATCTTCTTAACGTTTAACAGTCAACCCAATTGTTTACCCAGGCCAATTTCTCCTGACCAGGCCGGAGACGTACGCTGCCGGAGATCTGTCTGGCCAGAACGACAACATTAGCAACGACAAGTTTCTAGACAAAGCCATGATCTATGCAGCCAAACAGCCATCGTGAGTTGTTTTTTGTTGTTGTTGTTTTTTTAAAATGATGTTTAGCCAGTCTGTGATGCCAGCAACCCCATGATGTTTAGCCAGTCTGTGATGCCAGCAACCCCATGATGTTAAGCCAGTCTGTGATGCCAGTAACCCCATGATGTTTAGCCAGTCTGTGATGCCAGCAACCCCATGATGTTTAGCCAGTCTGTGATGCCAGCAACCCCATGATGTTTAGCCAGTCTGTGATGCCAGTAACCCCATGATGTTTAGCCAATCTGTGATGCCAGCAACCCCATGATGTTAAGCCAGTCTGTGATGCCAGCAACCCCATGATGTTTAGCCAGTCTGTGATGCCAGCAACCCCATGATGTTTAGCCAGTCTGTGATGCCAGCAACCCCAACTACAAATCGGTCAGACACTACGGTCGTTCCCCATGATGTTTAGCCAGTCTGTGATGCCAGCAACCCCATGATGTTTAGCCAGTCTGTGATGCCAGCAACCCCATGATGTTTAGCCAGTCTGTGATCCCAGTAACCCCATGATGTTTAGCCAGTCTGTGATCCCAGTAACCCCATGATGTTTAGCCAGTCTGTGATCCCAGTAACCCCATGATGTTTAGCCAGTCTGTGATCCCAGCAACCCCATGATGTTTAGCCAGTCTGTGATCCCAGTAACCCCATGATGTTTAGCCAGTCTGTGATCCCAGTAACCCCATGATGTTTAGCCAGTATGTGATCCCAGTAACCCCATGATGTTTAGCCAGTCTATGATCCCAGTAACCCCATGATGTTTAGCCAGTCTGTGATCCCAGTAACCCCATGATGTTTAAACAAATAACCTTTTTTTTTTTTTTTTTTTCTTTACACCACCCCTCTCTTTTTTTTGTTTCCAATCCCTGATTTGAAAGATGTAACTGGCAGACACATAAATTATCATCCATTTCTCACCACAATACAATTTTTTTTAAAATCTGTGCCCTGTTTTATCTTGTCGTTAGATTAGATGTGCCCCGGTGCTTGCAGCCCTTTCTTTTTAAAAAAATACTTTTGCGCCAATTTAATTTTTTTTTTTTTATGATAACTTTTTTTTTTAAATTAATGTTACCAGGCTCTGATCAGATTAATAACAAAAGAGAACCCGAATTTATAAAGGAATTTATTTAGAGCAATTATCAGTGATCCAAGAAAACTGTTGTAAAGGGTGCTTGTAAGGAATTTCATTTTGTATAATAATATTTCAGACATTCTTTCTGCTTTTAAAATAAAATTTGTTTTTTTAATGATATGAAAAACTTCAATCCTCTTAATAAAACAGAATAGTCCTTCAAATGTCGATGTGTTTAGAGATGTTGCACAGAATAGTCCTTCAAATGTCGATGTGTTTAGAGATTTCCACAGAATAGTCCTTCAAATGTCAATGTGTTTAGAGATGTTGCACAGAATAGTCCTTCAAATGTCGATGTGTTTAGAGATGTTGCACAGAATAGTCCTTCAAATGTCGATGTGTTTAGAGATTTCCACAGAATAGTCCTTCCAATGTCGATGTGTTTAGAGATGTTCCACTTTAAATGTCGATGTGTTTAGAGATGTTCCACATAATAGTCCTTCAAATGTCGATGTGTTTAGGGATGTTCCACTTCAAATGTCGATGTTTTTAGAGATGTTCCACAGAATAGTCCTTCAAATGTCGATGTGTTTAGAGATGTTCCACAGAATAGTCCTTCAAATGTCGATTTGTTTAGAGATGGTCCACTGATGTTCCACTTCAAATGTCGATGTTTTTAGAGATGTTCCACAGAATAGTCCTTCAAATGTCGATGTGTTTAGAGATGTTCCACAGAATAGTCCTTCAAATGTCGATTTGTTTAGAGATGGTCCACTTCAAATGTCGATGTGTTTAGAGATGTTCCCCGTGCAAACACTCACTGCCGGCTACACACAGGAGTAAGAAAAGGGGGGGGGGGGGTCCGCCTTAGGCGGGACTGTACAGGGGCGGCGTTTCGATCCATTTCATCTACTTTGAACAGCGTATTTTGAATGTGTACTATGTATTCATAGTGTGGCTTTTTTTAAATTAGGGGCGGCAAAGCCAGTCCCCCCTCCCCCGGGCGTCACTAACTCTAGCTACTCCACTTTCAAATTGACATTGGTTGGTTTTTTTTGGTTTTTTTTTATTGATCCGTTGTTGTTCATTCTAACTTTACATTTTTAATCAGTTTAGAAAGTGAGACTTTCTTTATATTGATAAAAAAATTGTTCCACCATTTCAGAACTCCGCTTGGCAAAATGTGCACGGCAACTGCCTGCATCTACAGAGCCACTTGTGACACGCCCTCTCTCCGCGTGAAAGCTGTTAGAGAGTGTATGTTTTTAATGAAGAGCAGCAATCTGATAGAGTGTATGGATCCAGTGTATTCTTATACAGGTGAGGCCTGAACGAAGTCCAGGGTTTAATATTGGACGAGAAATGTCACATAAGAACAATGGCGTGATGATTGTCATGGGTTTATACAGTATGTGATTATTGTCACAACTACAGATAGTTGTGCTTTAGGGATCTTTAACCTGCAGTCATGTAGATTCGTAACCTAGTCCAGGGACGTAGACCAAAGGAAAGGGTTAGCAAATGTTTTGATTGCTGCCGGTGAAAGTATAAGGTGTTTTTAAAAACATAATTGTCATCAGTTGGTGGCCACAGTTAGAGAGGCAGTAAATCTTGTGAGCCAAGCACACACACACACAACAACAACACCAACACAACTTACTATCGGTATCATATCCCCCCTCCCCCCACTCATTAAGTGTATATGTTCCCCCCCAGGTGAGCCCACGACATTCAACAGTTTAAATGCCTTCAAGCTGTGCCTGTGGAACACTTGCAACCCTTCCAGGTCGGTGTGCACGCTCTACAAGTCTCATTTCAAGCCCGCCTGCCTCAAGTTGGCGCCCACAGCCATTCAAAATTTGAACTGTTTGAACCCCTAAGCTGCGCTCTTTAACACATCAGTGCACAGCCAATCGTAGACAATAAACACGTCAGAATTTACAATGAGATTGTATTTATTATTTAACGAGGATAAATTTATCTTATCTAACTATCAGTTTTTGGTCATTTTTTTTTTTTAAAGTAAACTTCTGAAACTGTTTCCACTTCTAATTATTTTTTTGTCAATCCCCCCTAAATGTCTTTTGTTCATGATTTTATTTCATTTCTTGATCCATGTAAACCTAGGGTAAGTGCCTTTTAATATTGACATTACAAGGAAAATTGAATGAATCATTATTTTGCTAAATTTATAGAAAACAAAAAAGCTAAATAAATCTTACATCTGAAGTTACTGCAGAAGTCGCAGTGTGGACCCACTGCTATTGATTTTCTAAAAAGAATGTCTAAAAAGGTTGTCTAAGCAGGTTGTCTAAACAGGTTGTCTAAGCAGGTTGTCTAAACAGGTTGTCTAAGCAGGTTGTCTAAGCAGGTCGTCTAAATAGGTTGTCTAAACAGGTTGTCTAAACAGGATGTCTAGGCAGGTCGTCTAAACAGGTTGTCTAAAACAGGTTGTCTTAACAGTTTGTCTAAACAGGTTGTCTAAACAGGTTGTCTAAACAGGTTGTCTTAACAGGATGTCTAAGCAGGTCGTCTAAATAGGTTGTCTAAACAGGTTGTCTAAACAGGATGTCTAGGCAGGTCGTCTAAACAGGTTGTCTAAAACAGGTTGTCTTAACAGGTTGTCTAAACAGGTTGTCCTAACAGGTTGTCTAAGCAGGTTGTCTAAACAGTTGTCTAAACAGGTTGTCTAAACAAGTTGCACTGTGACACTTACACTGACATTAAATGATGTGCTTTGATTTGTTCAATACCGTGTTCTCCTCCTCGGGCCATTTCATTACTCAACATATCTATTTATCTAGACTATTTAAAAACATCTTAAAAAGTCTTTTATTTGTTACCATAAAACCGGGGTTTTTTTGGTTTTTTTTTTTTTAAATAATATTTTTCGGTTGATTTACACACAAAAAGTAGTTTGCCAAAACAGCTTACTTATATAATGGGTGAAATAAATAGTAGCTTGGCGATATAATTCATATATATATATATATTCTTCACAATGCGGCAGTTTTAAAAATCCTTAAATCTTTCAATTATAACATCCCGAAATGATAAAGAAAATAAAAATAATTTTAACTTTTTCGTTGAAATTCCTTTGCACTTACGGGTCAAAGTATAAATTTAAGGCACTTTTCAGTTCATTCACCCCCAATAAAATTTAACAACGAGAAAGCATGGCATGACTTTTTACACGTACGGTTTTATTCACCCGAATATTTGAAAACAAGTTTCAACTAATTTTTATTTCGACGACAATAATTTAAAGCTGTTCGTTAATTCGAAACAAATACATTGGTTTGGTTAGCAGATGTGAGAATTACACACGCAAAAATAAAACGAAACTGGACGTCCGTTATAAATACTGTATATTTAAATTTGAAATGTTACTTCTGTTATCTCTTTATAATTTGACGAAGTGGCTGCTCAGAGTTGCACTCACTGTGTCATAACTTTGTTACGTGACTATCGGACATTTTTTCTCTCTCTCTCTCTCTATCTCTCTCTCTCTCTCTCTCTCTCTCTCTCTCTCTCTCTCTCTCTCTCTCTCTCTCTCTCTCTCTTTCCATTGCTACACTGTTGGGTTTTGGTATTTAGTTATATTATTATTCATTTATTTGTTTGCAAAGCGAAAAAAAATGCCATCAATAAAATGCAAGCACAAAGTGTACTTCTTGAATTCATTTTTTTTTTTAAATTATATTTTGAGAAAACTTTAATTAAGTGAATCTTTATACGTTGGAACTTCAAACTTGCGGCTTCGAACAGTCCCGACATTGAAGGTGGTTAGAAAATGGTGAACACGGCGGCGTAGGTTGGCACAAACTATTTGATGTTTTCAGATGATGTCATTTTTGAGGTCTTTAGTCAGAAGTCGTGTATTCTAATAAAAGAAAACATTTTTAGAAGCTGTTGTGTTCCGGGTGGGGGTTGGGGGGGGGAGAGGGGGTCTGGTAGGTATTTAAATTGTGGTCGTAAACTATGTTGAAATTTATTTTAAGGCTCCGGTTACGTAACCGAACATTTTTTACGACACCCCCGGGGCTTTTGCACTGCAGATCTATTTCACCTTACGACACACCCGGGGCTTTAGCACTGCAGATCTATTTCACCTTACGACACACCCGGGGCTTTAGCACTGCAGATCTATTTCACCTTACGACACACCCGGGGCTTTTGCACTGCAGATCTATTTCACCAAACATTTCTGAAAAACGATAGAAAATACTAGGAACCAAATGCACTTGCGATATATATATATATATATATATATATCTTAAAGAATCTCATTTGGCGCATTTATCAAAAATTTCCTTTCTTGTTCCCCTTGAAATACAGGAAAAACTGTTTTGGGGGGTTGGGGCTGAAAATTTGATAGAATGTGTCTAATGTGCCAATTCTCAGCGTGATAGGTTTATGGGAAGTGGGTGAATTAGCCGTCAGAAACTTTTGCCAGCCAGCCACCTACGAAAAAAGCGAAGTTAATTTTAAAAAAAAAACGATTTTAAAATACGACGCATTGTATGAGTCAACGGGAGCATGGAACGCTGACGCTGACGCAACGAGCCAAATTAAAATGTTAAGACATGTGAAACCTAATGGGACGCTGACGCAACGAGCCAAATTAAAATGTTAAGACATGTGAAACCTAATGGGAAGTTGACGCAACGAGCCCAATTAAAATGTTAAGACATGTGAAACTTAATGGGAAGTTGACGCAACGAGCCAAATTAAAATGTTAAGACATGTGAAACATAATGGGGCGCTGACGCAACGAGCCAAATTAAAATGTTAAGACACGTGAAACCTATCAATTTAAAGACCACGCAAAACAAGGCATTGGCTTGCATTTAGCCATGTCAATTATTTTGTTTGGAAGAGCAACGTGGCAGAATGTCATGAACTTGCAACAAGAGAGGCTAGGAAACTGGAAAGAAGTTGAGAAATCTCGTCGCACGCGTTTCAAATCAAGGACAGTCTCACCAAGCGCGCTGCATCAAGTAGTGCGAAAAGGAGGTAGCATTGTAGAAAACCAGATTAGTCGAGTCTCTTTTAAAGGATACAATCTTGAGTGAACCTGCAAGATGGAGAAAAAAAATAATAATTTCGGATATGAAATAATTATTTGGTTCTTGGTGAACGGGGATTGGCATATTTCGTGTCAAATCTGATCTAACTCAGATTGCCTACAGTGGCAATTTTCTGGGATGCTGGAGCTGATTTTGCATAATGATCCATTTCTCAAGATACACGTGATGAAAATTCAACAGTCGCAGTAAAATGCTGAAAGACTTCCATCCCATTATCTCTCTAATCTGTCTCAAAATGAATTGATATCTACTGTTCGAGCTCGTAGGGAATTTGTGTGTGAGTTTGAATCAGCCACACATTGTGTGTGAGTTTGAATCAGCCGCACATTGCGTGTGAGTATGAATCAGCCACACTCAGCGACATAGTGTGTGTGAGTGTGAATCAGCCACACATTGTGTGTGAGTGTGAATCAGCCACATATTGTGTGTGAGTATGAATCAGCCACATATTGTGTGTGAGTATGAATCAGCCACACTCAGCGACATAGTGTGTGTGAGTGTGAATCAGCCACACATTGTGTGTGAGTGTGAATCAGCCACATATTGTGTGTGAGTGTGAATCAGCCACACTCAGCGACATAGTGTGTGTGAGTGTGAATCAGCCACACATTGTGTGTGAGTGTGAATCAGCCACATATTGTCTGTGAGCGTAAATCAGCCACATATTGTGTGTGAGTTTGAATCAGGCACATATTGTACGTGAGTGTGAATCGGCCAAATATTGTGTGTGAGCGTGAACCAGCCAAATATTTCTCAAAAATGTTGATGCTACAAGCTGATGTGAGCCACACTGAAACAAACCCCCATTGGTGTGAGCCACACTGAAACAAACCCCCATTCATGATCCGATCTGTGTTTGCAGAGCCTCCAACTAGAGAGTTGACCATAAAGAAGACATGTCTGTCCTTCGATGACCGTTCAACAAAAAACTGGGTCTGAGGCTTCCGCTTCCGACCGGACCTGAAAGTCTTGAACATTCCAGACTTCACAATGGTGCAAACTTGGCCGGGAAGCATTTCAATCAGTTCTAGGGATTATTCTCAAGCAAAACCCCCCTGTTTGTCTTTTCCTCATGTGGATGTTTGAAATTATGTGGCTTTCAAGTTGCTTAAACTGTGTACACTCAATTATATATCAGCAAGTCGACAGCGCAGGGAGATTTTAAGGAAAATAGTTAAGGGTGTTTCGCTTCATGGACTTTCATGGACTCACTGGTGTGAAAGACTTGATCGTTTTTTTTAACTTTCTCTAACTACTTGGCTAGAATAAGTGAAGCTCTTTTGGAAGTTTTGCATCTGAATCTGAGCCCAAAGACACGTACTGATGCAAATGGGGCTAAAAATATGTCACATCCTTCATATATGTCGTCATGGCAAGGGTCTGGATCAAATAACTAGCCCTGGTAGACCGCTGAGACCAGTTTTGTCAGGCCCAGAAAATTAAAATTGACATTGAAGTGAACAATCTGATACATGAAATATTTTCGGGATGAGGGGAAAAAATCTATGAAAGAGGTCAAAGTTCAGCTTAAATAGCAAACATCAGGGATGAATTCCCAATCGGGAAAAGAAAAAATATATAAATATTTTCATGGTGACCAATCTGAGGACACTCCGTGTGAATCCAAAACGTCCTCTGAACCAGATGAAGAGATCAGTTGAAGTAGAAATGTTTTGGCCATATTATTAATTCTTTAATAGCTGTACTCAAAGCTCGCTTCACAGCAGTTCTAAAGATTGTAGCCCTGTTCAGCTTCTCGTGGAATTACTCCATCATGTCTGCAGCTGAAATTACAAGTTATTTCAACGTCTTTTCCATGAGATATCAAATTTGTTGAACAAAATTTCAGAATTTTAGCTGTGTCAGCCTTTCTTTTTTTCAATTCCAATAATTCTTGTGCAAAAAAAAAGCTGTTATTTTTGTTGTGATTTTTAACCTCTTTAACTTTTACAAAATATTTAAATTCACGAAACGGAAACTAATGATACAACAGTATCGCATGGCGTTGTTTACTTCTGTACAACGCTGTGTGCGTCATTTAATCCAAGTGTGTGTGTGCTACCATTTATGATCGCTTACTTCAGCCCTGCACAACTCAAAATGTAAGGCGGGCCGTAATACTTTATGAAAAACTTGTGCGGCCCAAAAGAAAATTGGACAGGGGTGAAGCTATTGAGAAAGTAATAAGAGTAAAGAATAGTTCGTTGCTTCACGGGCCACAAAGCGGGTGCTGGCAGACCGTATGTTGTGCATGGCCTGGCTTACTTCATTAATAACAATGCAACTCTGCCATGCCACATTTGCGACAGATTAATCAAACTAGGACCGTAAAAAGCAATATCTGTTTCCAGGGCAAAGCCTGAATTCAGGCGCCCCCCCCCCCACACACATTAGACATGAAAAAATTATTATTTTCTGGCCCCTGAAGGCGGCGTTTGGGGGAAGGGGTGTCCTTCTCGTGAACCTGCTNAAACAAGAGTGTGCAATTGGAATCAACACACAAGGGTATACAATAATAATTGGAATGACACCTAAGGATATACAATTTAAATCAACTCACAAGGATATACACACAAGGGTATAAAATTGGAATCAACACACAAGGGTATACAATTTGAATCAACACACAAGGATATACAATTCGAATCAACACACAGGGATATACAATTCGAATCAACACACAAGGATATACAGTTTGAATCAACACACAATGATATACAACTGGAATCATGATACCAGATCAAAAGATATAGGCCTCCTCGTTGTCCAGTGACACATTTCTAGCCACAAGTCCCTGACACTTCAAGTTATCAAACTACCATGACGTTGCTGAAAGTTAAATTAAACTCCCCCCCCCCCCCCCCCCCCCCCCTTTTTTTTCCCCCCCCACCCCCGCCCCCCCCCCCCCTCCTTTTTCCTTATCTATGATCACGATGCGCGACTTCAAGGATCTTATATTGTCAAACCAAAACTATATCAAAGCAAAAAATATGATCATATAAATAAGGCGATAAAATGAAAATAATCAAAAATTTGTAGTTGCAAAGAGGAAACTAAACATAACTTTCGCATGCATTAGAAAGTAAAGATTTTCCCATTTATTTCAGGCAACCTGCTTTTTAATAAGAATTATAAAAATAATAACTCTTATGCGTGAATTTTTAAATTTAAAACAAAAAATGGATTTGGGAGAAAAATCTAGATTTTAAAAAATCAATTAAATTAAATTACGTAACAAAATAAATTGTAATACCAGGACAAAACTTTATAGCAAAAAAACATTTTTTTTATATTTTTTTAAAACTAATTATTTGTTTGGCTGATGACGCAAGCCACATTCCCGATCCTATTACGAAACAATAAATGTCAATCATCAAAAGAATATTTTAGTTTTGCAACATAAAACGTACAGCAGGCGATTGGGATTTGTTTCCACGTCTAGTTCTCTTATATAATGGAAAAGGGATCAGAGAGTTGTAAATGTCGTCTTTGTTGTGAATCAAAGGGTTGTAAAAGTTCATGATGTTGCAGAAACATGTTTTCTGATATTCTTTAAACTTTGAACACAGAGGAGCGGTTGAAAGACTTGGCTAAATATTTGATCTTCTTCTTCACAATGAGATATCTACACACTGACACGGCTACACAACAAACTGACAACTCTACACACTACCGACACATCCAGAAAGTGTCATATCGGCTCTACATAGAGAGAAAGAAACACAATAACACCTCTACACACTAATCCTCTCCCCCCCCACCAAACTTTCCCGCAGACACCACTACACACTGAAACTTTCACATTGATACCTCTACACAGACACCGCATAGTGACAGGTACCTCTATCCACAGACACCACATAGTTACACCCACCTTTTGCACAGAAACCACATAGTGACAGGTACCTCTATGCACAGACACCACATAGTGACAGGTACCTCTTTGCACAGACACCACATAGTGACAGGTACCTATATGCACAGAAACCACATAGTGACAGGTACCTCTATGCACAGACACCACATAATGACAGGTACCTCTATGCACAGACACCACATAGTGACGGTTACCTCTTTGCACAGACACCACATATTGACAGGTACCTCTATGCACAGACACCACATAGTGACAGGTACCTTTGAGCATAGACACCACATAGTGACAGGTACCTCTTTGCACAGACACCACATAGTGACAGGCACCTCTATGCACAGAAACCACATAGTGACAGGTACCTCTATCCACAGACACCACATAGTGACAGGTACCTCTATACACAGACACCACATAATGACAGGTACCTCTATTCACAGACACCACATAGTGACAGGTACTTCTATCCACAGACACCACATAGTGACAGGCACCTCTATGCACAGACACCACATAAGACAGGTACCTCTATGCACAGACACCACATAGTGACAGGTATCTCTATGCACAGACACCACATAGTGACAGGTACCTCTATGCACAGACACCACATAGTTACAGTTACCTCTTTGCACAGAGACCACATAGTGACAGGTACCTCTATGCACAGACATCTCAATGCCAGTTAAAATTTGATATTGCACTTGTACCAATGAGCAACATAACATCGACAGAGTTGCATGTCATTGTTGACCATCATGTGAATATAAAACAAAATGAGAGCCATCAACACATAGAGACAGTGTAAGAGAACACCCAAGACAGTGTGATTATGTCAAGTTAAGATTTAATCTTAATGGCTTATATGCACTACTGGAGAACAAAATGAACAAAATAATTTTTTTAATTTAAGTTACATTCATATGGACGGATTATCATGAATAAAATATACAAATGAAGGAACTGGGGCCAGGATACAGTGGTTACATCATAATACAGTTGACCCTTTGCTTAAAAAAAATTTGGACATGTCACTGTCGCTATAGCGATATATATCAATAAATCTGTTACCTTTTTGAGATAACAAATAAACAAATTTAATTATCCACTGTCAAAACAAGTATCAAGTTAAATCTTTGGTTGCCCCTATCTACAGCACTCCACCTTTTTTTTAAATCATCCTCGACTGAATCTTTAATCAGCCTGAGCCTGTCTTCACAATATTTCTACTCAACAATTTATTTACACTAATTGGCATTGAAAAACTATGAAGAAGAAAAAAAAAGGAAAATATTTTGAACAGCAACTAATTATTTATGAAGTATTCAACAGTGGTTCTTAAACCTTAGGGCATGCAGTCCATGGGATGCACATAAATGGATACACATATTACATTTAAACAGATTGGAAAGGGGTGATTAAAGTATTTTTAAAAAAAATTAAAATAATGCATGATTATTGCAATACAAAGTTCCATTGTGTGAAATCCACTAAAAATGCGTCAATTTTTGTATCCACAGTAGATAACCAAAAAAATCCTGATATCTGAGGTCAAACTTTAAAGTTATTAAGATAGACCTGGTGATGCTTCCCACGGAATGTGGCCAGGAAATCATCAGTGGATGTTGTTGAAGTATAAAACACGGTGTATGCCTAATATTTAGAAACAGGAACCTGGTCAGGTTTTATGGAATGTTGAATTAAAGAAAATAAGTTACTGTGTTAAAGAAAAATAAAGTTCAATGATTACAATTCCATGCTAATTTTTAGAGAACTTTCTTTTTTCTCATTCATTCGGTCATCTCAAATGAAATTCTGCTTGAGGCAACCGGCAAGTGGTGCCACCATATCCTGCTTGAGGCAACCGGCAACTAGTGCCACTCTCTCCTGCTTGAGGCAGCCGGCAAGTGGTGCCACCATGTCCTACTTGAGGCAACCGGCATGTGGTACCATCATCTCCTGCTTCTGTGGAAAACTTTTTTCTATGGGTTCTTATAAATGTCCAACTTACTCACTGATCAACTCCAGTTTTTTTTTAAAAACGTAGCAAGGAGGTCAGCCACAATTAACAATGAATGTTTACAAGAAGCTCAGTAAAAATACAAAACCATATAATTTAAATAACAATCACTGTGTGGATTTCGGCCACCCACTCAAGAAAGGTAATACAGTTTAACCCTTTCAAATAGTTTTTATGGCCTAACTCCCTCAACTAAAGCAACTTGAAGCAAATAATGACTTATTTTATTTTTAAAAATATTCTTCATTTTGCTATGTACAATTAGCAATAGGGGCTGGGAGGAGGTGTGTCCCCCCCTCCCCCCAAGAAGGCTCTCCTTATGTGCACCAAAGATTAGTAGAGCAGCCACAATTTTGCACACAGCACAACACTCCGCATGGTGGTAACGTATGTGTTCTTTTGGTAGATCATGCACTGTTGCCCCAGCTAAACAAAGAATAATCTCAACTTTTTTCTTTTTTTTTTTTTATCAATGAAAATTGCTAAACTTTATTACTTAAAAAGGTTTAGATGAAGAGTGAAGTTGTACAAGGAATGAGTTAATATTGATGTAGTAGCTAAAGGCACTGCTGCTGGTGGAGGTTCAACAAATCATGTCTCAGATAATGAAGCCCTGGGATCAGATTCACGCAGTAGACACTCTGTCCATCTCTAAACCTTTCTCAAGCCCTGTTTTTCCTGATTTTAGGTTCTTCCCCAGCCTGTCTGAGTTTGGTGTGATGGACAGTACAAACCAGGTCAGCATGATGAAGACACTCCGTGCTGTGTTGATGGACTGAAACATAGTTATGTCCTCAGCTTTCGTCTGTTTGAAGAGTTAAACAATGGTTAATGGAGTATTTGATTTATATCATGGCCAATAACACTACAGACGGGATGAAAAATATTAGATGTGTTAGATGAGGACAACACAATGTGACCTTCAGGCAAGTGAAATGGGGACCACAAAATTCTTCAAAATGTTACATTAAGACAAGTGAAATGAAGGCAACACTATGTGACCTTGAGACAAGTGAAATTAGGGTAAAAAATGTGAACTCAAGACAAGTAATATGAGGGTAGCAAAATGTGACATTTAGACAAGTGAGACAAGGACAACAAAATCCCTGGAGATCAACTCAAAAGTTCATATCAAACGTTTAAGCAGTTACTTTCTGTTTCGTGACTCTAAATACCCACAACTACAACTGAGTTAGAGTAAAATTTAAAGCAGTAGCCTGGGCTGTCACAATGTTATTTGCACATCAAATATTTGTTTTTTAAATTTTACTACCTAACTGTTGGTTACATTCGGAAATGGTGCTAACTCACTCAAACTAGCCGAAACACATGTGCTGATCAAAGCACAATCACACGCTAGATAAACATCCGGGACTCACATTATCATCTGTGTAGAGATCCTTAAACTCCTTGTACAGGTACATCTTGTCATCATATCGAATAGCTACAATGTTGAGAATTAAGGCAACCAGGCTGAAAACTATAGCTACGGCACCATTCTGTAAGGTCAGTGCCCGTAAAACAAACCGTCGTGTTGGATTGCCAATGTCAAACCTAGATTTTTTTTTTTCAAAAGTAGAGTTATACAATTATGAGGATTAAAAATTGCGCAAACTTTTTTAAAAAAGTGAAAAATAACGTGTTATTTAAAATGTCATGCTGATTTTCTGAATTTGTATAAAATATTGATATCAAACATAAACTGCAAGCAGGGATTTGGATTGGAGCTTGGAGTGAAGATTAAAGCTGGAGCTCTGGTGAAGGGTCTTTCACAGAGCTCAAGCGGTAAAATTGCTTATTGCTCCCAGCTTCAAAAATTTTGATTAATGTTTTAATTTTTTTTTAAAATTATAATTTGTACTTTTTTAATTTATAAAGATAATTTATTAACATTGATGCACCACTCTTCAACCAGCTATGTTGCCTCCAATACTCTAGTGGTTATGTTCTCCCCATTCTCTTATAGCTATGATCTCCCACTCTTCTACCAGCTATGATGCCCCAATACTCTAGCGGCTATGTTCTCCCCATTCTCCTATTGCTATGATCCCCCAATCTTGTACCAGCTAATTTTCCTCACTCTTGTATTAGCTATGTTGCCCCTACTTTTTTACAGCTGTTTCCCTCCACTCTTCTACCAGCTATGTTGTGCCATTCTTCTACCAGCTATGTTGCCCAACTCTTCTACCAGCTATGTTGTGCCATTCTTCTACCAGCTATGTTGCCCAACTCTTCTACCAGCTATGTTGCCCCACTCTTCTACCAGCTATGTTGCCCAACTCTTCTACCAGCTATGTTGCCCCACTCTTCTACCAGCTATGTTGCCCAACTCTTCTACCAGCTATGTTGCCCCACTCTTCTACCAGGTATGTGTCATGAACCCCCTTCACCACATCACGTAACAGTACCTGGAGCAAAGCTCTGCCAAAATTCCCTGGTTGCAAGACATAAACTATTTAAATCCTGTCTTGATAAAAGTACTACCATAACAAGTAACACGTTATTTATTATCTGATTTTTTTTGTTATTAAATGAATTTTGAGACTTCCTATCATTTTATTAAGGTTTTAAAATCTATCTAGTCAAATTTTTGCATTTTTGTTAAATTTAATCATAAACAAAACATATTGAGGTATTATCTGATTTTTTTTGTTATTAAATGAATTTTGAGACTTCCTATCATTTTATTAAGGTTTTAAAATCTATCTAGTCAAATTTTTGCATTTTTGTTAAATTTAATCATAAACAAAACATATTGAGGCACAAAAGAATTACTTATGAATAAAATGAGAGTAGCAGTTATTAGACGTATGAGAGTAGCAGTTATTAGACGTATGAGAGTAGCAGTTATTAGACGTATGAGAGTAGCAGTTATTAGATGTATGAGAGTAGCAGTTGTTATAGAGAGCTTGTTTACATCATATTTCTCGTGCGTGCCCTCTGATTGACCCCGCATGAGACGCTGTGTTCACAAAGGGATGTGGCTTAGGCCTTTGAAGTATAGTGTTTACAATCGGCTTCCAATTACGCATTGGGTATAATGACTCCGGGTACCTTCTAGAATGTACTCCTTAACCCGAGATATGTAAACAACACGTCATAAGCCCTTCTGGAAGCGTCTTACTCTACATATTATATATAAAGGATTGACAGATACAGAGGGACGGAGATTTCAGACAAATTTTCTTAACATTACGAGGCCTGTTTTATTCTTTGTGTATTTGTGTACACCTACTTATATGTGTTTATTTCGCATTATTTATTGGTATCATTATTTCTAATTGTATTAACTGTGTACCGGTACGAGATCTACCATACTGTAAGTTGAAGATTGTAATTTTATTTTATTTTATTTTGTAATTATCTTAAGACATAATAAATCTTAATTAAATTGTAACTAGAAACTGTTTTGGGTCGTATCTTTAATATTGTTGGTTCTATGGTATCGTCCTTTGTTAGGCACTGCTTACAACGAGCCAATTAAAATTAAAATAGGAGATTAATTTCTCCCAATACAAGTCAGTGCGTAACACAGTTATTAGACGTAGAATTTGAAATCATGTATAGGTTATTTAAATCATGTCTTTAAATGGACCAAAAAAAATAATAAAGATGAGAAAAAAAAAAAATAACGGACCTGTCACAGACTGATACTGTGCACACAATCAATAAAAAGTAATAGGAGCACTGCAGTGGCATTGAAACGCGATAGTAGTGTAGCAAGAAATCATCGCTGGAGAATGAGTAAAAAAAAAAATAACGGACCTGTCACAGACTGATACTGTGCACACAATCAATAAAAAGTAATAGGAGCACTGCAGTGGCATTGAAACGCGATAGTAGTGTAGCAAGAAATCATCGCTGGAGAATGAGGACAGGGAAAAGACGGTCACCATCTGCCACAAGGAGAGTCCTGCCGTCAGGCCGTGGAGAAACAAAGTCACGACTCTGAATATTTTGTGTGAGGCCAGCGCAAAGTCAATGGTGGTCGTCCTGGGGAAGGACACTGGCTCCATAGGCTTGACCGTCTCTTCCATCCGTTGTCTGGCCAGTGAACTTTTGCTCTGGCCTTTAAATTTACCTGTAAAGCAAAATATCAGGAAAACTTTCATGATGATTGATTGTAACACGCCTTCTTAAATAAACATTTCATCGAGCCATAAAATACGTAGAAACATTTTTTGTAAACATGCGAACCAAAAATTTATTCCTGAAAAAAATTGTATGCGTCTATGCCTCAACAGGCCACTGTTCTCATATTCCTGGTTACATTTTTGATGATCACTGAAAAACTAAATATTATTTCTTTTACAATAAGCACAGTGCCTGTATGTGGATACTTTAAATTGTTGCCCATAATTGAATACATTTTATAGACGTTAAGATCAGACATGTGGGTGAGGGGAGGGGGGTGCGAGCCATATGTATACCTTAGAAACTTTGTCAATCTATTAGGTGCTTTCATATCAATACCACATTCGAAAGAAAATATCCACATGCCTCTTCAGCCAAAAATAGTGTAAAACACATGACCATAAATCACACATAACATTTTAATAACTAGGTAAAGGAAAAAGATATTCCTTGTTTATTTTTTTGCACTTAAGACACTATTATACAATGTGGTCCAAAAATGTGGACTGTCAACTAAATCATCTTCATGCATAGAGAAAACTTAAGACAATAACTAATTCATATGTCCAACAGTGGACTAAATAAAACAAAGAAAACATGATGAATCCAAATTTTGGATTATCCACCACATACTATTTTTATAAATGTCATTACTGTATTAGAAGGTCAATGGAGAGATCCTAAGCAGAAATAGATATTATGAGATGGACAATGGTGAGATCCTAAGCAGAAATAGCTATTATGAGATGGACAATGGTGAGATCCTAGCAGAAATAGCTATTATGAGATGGACAATGGTGAGATCCTAGCAGAAATAGCTATTATGAGATGGACAATGGTGAGATCCTAAGCAGAAGTAGCTATTATGAGATGGACAAAGGTGAGATCCTAAGCAGAAGTAGCTATTATGAGATGGACAATGGTGAGATCCTAAGCAGAAGTAGCTATTATGAGATTATGAGATGGACAATGGTGAGATCCTAAGCAGAAATAGCTATTATGAGATGGACAATGGTGAGATCCTAAACAAAAATAGCTATTATGAGATGGACAACGGTGAGATCCTAAGCAGAAATAGCTAATATGAGATGGACAATGGTATGATCCTAGCAGAAATAGCTATTATGAGATGGACAAAGGTGAGATCCTAAACAGAAATAGCTATTATGAGATGGACAATGGTGAGATCCTAAGAAGAAGTAGCTATTATGAGATGGACAATGGTGAGATCCTAAGAAGAAGTAGCTATTATGAGATGGACAATGGTGAGATCCTAGCAGAAATAGCTATTATGAGATGGACAATGGTGAGATCCTAGCAAAAATAGCTATTATGAGATGGACAATGATGAGATCCTAGCAAAAATAGCTATCAAAAAGTGTTAAGAAAACACCACCATACAAAACATATCAGTCCATTTTATAAAATGTTTTAAAAATGAACTAAATTAAATGATTGGAATGTGGACTCAGCAAACAGGAGATCACTCAAGGCATCCAGATGTTGATATCTGCTGCCAGAATTGAATGATGAAGAGACTATCTAAGCGAATGACCAGTTTTTGCCACATCACTAAAAATATGAACTGTTCCGTAAAGAAATATGGGGCTTTAAAAAACATATACTTTATATTTGTGGCAGCCAAGGGCTGCTTCTTCTCTTCAATGACCTCTCCAAGCTCTCAAAATTTTTACATTCAATTTTTTTGTCTCTCTCAAAATTTATAATAGTTAGGAAAATGGTGGCTAATAATGTAAAGGTATATGGTGCTTTATACAACATATACTTTATATGTGTGGCAGCTAGCTGACTATAACTTTTATTTAAGTTTTATCAATATTTTTAATCTGAATGGGAATCTATTTACTTTATCCAGAGTTATCAGAATAATGAATTATTGAATAAGCACATCTTTAAGTCATGATAAATTTACAAACATAAATAATGAATTGTTAAATTAAGCACATCTTTAAGTCATGATTAATTTACAAACATAAATAATGAATTGTTAAATTAAGCACATCTTTAAGTCATGATTAATTTACAAACATAAATAACAAACGAAAAGCTATATGACATGTGCAGCAAAATTTAAATATTCAAGACTTCATGCCGGCTCTAAAATGATAAACCCTGTAATGGTCAAATAATACTTACTACTGGTTTCAATAAATATCTTATCCACAGGTTGACTTCGAAGAATGGGTGTGGTGAAGAAGGTTGTCAAGGGCTGCTTCTTCTCTTCAATGACCTCTCCAAGCTCTTCAGTTTTCTTCTCACCATCACCAATGATGATATCATCTCTCATTGTCCGCAGATCATCAGCCCAGGGAGTGTCACCAAATTCATCTACCCCTTCTTCCACTTTTTTAACTTTCTTTTTCTTTCTGGCTGTTTTCTTTCTCGGCGTTGTCTCATCTTTTGATATGAGACTTGTTTTGCTTCCTTGGCTATCCTAATGATTCATTTGAAAGTGAAAATTTAACATTTTTATTTGAGAAAAGAACAAAAAAAAACTATCATGAGCATCAGTGATGTAGGAAGGGTGGTGTAGAGGGGGGGGGGAGGGGGGGGGTTTACTTTTTTTCTTTATATGGGGGGGCCTCATTTTTAGCCTCATTTTTTGCCAACTGCATTGGGGGTTTTTTTGTGTTAAAGAACAAAAAAAAACTATCATGAGCATCAGTGATGTAGGAAGGGTGGTGTAGAGGGGGGGGGGAGGGGGGGGGTTTACTTTTTTTCTTTATATGGAGGGGCCTCATTTTTAGCCTCATTTTTAGCCAACTGCATAGGGGGTTTTTTTGTGTAAGAGGGAGACAAAAATCATGGCATACCTCGGGTGGCACTAACTTGCTACGCCACTGATGACAATAAAATTTTTACATTCAATTTTTTTGTTTCTCTCAAAATTTAAAATAATTAGGAAAATGGTGGCTAATAAATGCAAGTTAAATATTTAATAAAGAAAAATTAACCTTATTATTCAACTGATCCCCTACACTAGGACTTTGGGTTCTGATTTCATCAGTTTTTTCTGCTTTTGGTTTCTTCTTTTTCTTTCTAGGTGTTGCTGTGGCTGATGCAGGAGAAGTTATTTCATCATCAGTTGCCTTAGCTTGACTTGGAGAGCGTTTTCTTCTACGCCTTGGGGTTGGTTTGTTCTGTAATAAATCATTTATTGTTCAGTTGAAAGCTCCCCCTTTATTTTAAAATGTTTATTCTTTGAAAGCAAAGGCATTAATTAGTTAGATTACATGTATGCATAAAGTATATCCCAAAAAAATTATTGTAGATCTTATAACTTTATTAACTATTGACAATAATATTACATAAAACCAAACATATTTTAATAGCATGAAAAATAATTTTTAGATGTCTTAATAAAACCATATGACTCAAAAAGTTTTTTTTTTATATATAAATGGCCCAATGGGAGCGAAGAATCAATTTTTACTTCACTTACGTTTTAGTTTTAAAGTTCTTAATCTTATTGTGCCTTATGTATTTGTAGTTACTAGGCACTTCAGTAAAGCAAGGGAGACTACTACTAAATTTGTAATAGCAACTGAAGTAAGCCCAGATAAATCTGTGGGTTTTTTTTTTGGATGTTAGTGGATATTTCATATATAGAAGGACTTTTTTGTCATAAAATTGTGTTATGTTTCCTCACTCTTTCACTTTGGAGGGCCTGGATTATAATATATATCCTTTTAATTTAAAATATTTCTCTACAGTATAGTATATACTGATTTGCATAAGCGCCAATTTTCGTAGTGATATATTTGATAAGCTTTGGCACCTTAGATGAACAATATGTAAAAATGGAAAGAAAATTAGTATACAAAGAAAAATGATACCAAAGCTAGTGATATTAACGATCTTCAATTTAATTACACTATTGTTACACTATTCTTCAGTTTAACTAAAATAAACTACCGGGTGCGAATGGCGCCGCTGCATGTCTGGGTCCATTTGGACTCAGTGCTATTCAGATGTCATTTGTGGTAGTTTATTTTAGTTAAACTGAAGAATTAAGTTTACAAACATAAAGTCAATTCAATTATCTTTCATTTGATACCTCATTTTGTCATACAAATCCAACAATAAAATTTTTAATATTTTTTTAATCCCAACCTCTCATTTCTGGTACCCGGGTACGAATAGCCATATAATATGATAATTAGCCAACCAATGATAATTTAAAATTATAATTTATCAACCAATTAAAATTTTAATACAAGACATGCCATCAGCGTACGAATACTAATACATAAAAAAAAATAAACAAAGGGAAGTGACTACCACACGTAAACACCCAAAAGACGTCTTGGCATTCTATCTTAATTTCAGCCGGTTTAGGGATACTCATATAGTATATAGTATAGGTAGGCACTTTGGTGAAAAAAATGAATCAATGACATAATTGAATAGAGCTTATTTTTAACAGAATTTAGACACCAAAATCAAATTTTTAGCTATTGTAGTTTTAAAGTTATGAATTTTTGAAAAACTGTTATTTTTGTCATTTTTTAACATGCATTTTTCTCAAAATTTTGGTACCCTCTTTTTTTTTTTTTTTTTTTTTGATTTTCAGCTATAACTATGTCATAACTTAATGAAAAAATCTCTAATTAACAGGGAAGCTTCGCTATCATTATACTTCATAGAAAAAACAAAAAAATAGAGAACATTTTCAGGAAAAGTCCTTTTTTAAATTAATTTTATTCAAATTTACCAAACAGTCTACAAAATGGCAATGATTTAATTCTTTAAAAAAATCATAACTTTTTTATTTTCAAAGTTTACGAGGTAAAATTAAGGGGAATTACACTTTATATTAAGGATTCTCTTAAAAATTAATTAAATACAGAAAATGTCCATGCATTGTTTGTATTTAGCCATCTATAGGACTTATGTATCAATTTTTTTTAAAAACCAACCCAATCGAGAAAAAAAAATTCTTTTAAATAAAAACCATAGCTTTAAAAAAATAATAATAATTCAATCTAACTGGATTAAATTACCACTGTAAAAATCAGTGCATGCAATGTGATGCTGCAATTTTAATAAAACATGCACTTATTCAATGTTAAGCATGCCTATTTACAAATTTTAAAATATTCCATGTCATGAATCTTGATGAGCATCTTTATGGGTTTTTTTTTAAATCTTCTAAATATTTTTGAGATATTTTAAGACTACTAATAATTAATTTATGCATACCTTGCTTTTTCTGTAAAACTTTAACTGTGTTATTTAATGTTGAATTTTTATTTATGATATCTCTTTTTCTTTGCTGTTTTATTTGTATTCTTGCCGTTAGTCTTTTCAGTTTTCTATTAACTTGTTTAACTTTATATTGCTTTTTAATAGCTTCCTTTTAACTTTTTAGTTTTTTATTTTGTCCAGCAAGTTTCTCATTTATCTTTCTCTTTAAAGCACAATTATGACAATCCTTTCGTAAACTTAAAGGTTACTGGTGGATGGACCTGGATCACTGGTAGATGGACCTGGATCAGTGGTGGATGTACATGGGTCAGTGGTGAAGGGATCTGGGTCATTTATACAGGGACCTGGGTTACTGGTGGAAGGAGCTGATCCACCAGTTGATGATACAGGATTTGAAGTACTAACATTTTGAAAATCTGCATCTAAATTTGGTGCTGGATTTGCTACATCAAAAAGAGGAAACTTTTCTGATAAAAGTTTCACAATTTCATCCCAATACTTTGATTTGAATTTTGTTAATTTGTCAAATAATGACATATTTACAATAATACAGATTTCTTATTTTTAATTGTAATTTATTTATATTACTTGCATTAACCTCCATAACATTTGGAGTTGGCACTTCTAAAAGTAATGCCCTAGCAGTGCTATTAAAACTTTTCTTATTTGCATAAAGTCATTGCCAAGATTTTAATAACAGCTTAAAAGCTCCTCTAAATCACAAGATTTATTGATTGCTTCTGCCATTCTGGAATTTCATTCATAAAAATATAGCAAATAAAAAAGAAGTTTTCTGGTTCAAGAAAATGGATTAATAAAAACATTTCAAACAGGTTGAGGTGAGGTAAAATAAAATTAATTTATGGTAAAAAAACAAACAACAACAACAATGTAATGAAACACTGAGATTTTGAATGCCCAAACTCAAGTCTGACAAAAACTGACTAAAAATAAGTTCAAGTCAGTACTTAAAAGGGGTTTTACGTTTATATTTAATTAAATATACTTCAACTAACTTATGAACAACTGGGGCTCTCTATAACTCTATGTGACAATATTTATATACAGCACGGGTAATAATGAGTAATAATGTTGCCCCTAGCAACGGTTGCACAAATATGTGTCACATCAGTCACCAGTGACTGCTTCAGTTCCTTACTTCTAGAATAAGTATAACCACAACATGGCAGATATATGATTTCAATATATTTTATTTCAAGTTGATAATTGAGATTTTCTTGTTTTTTCTAATTAAAATATTTAATAATGTTGTTGTCATACTGAAACAAAAATTATATTTGCAACCTGTAGCTAAACGGCGTCTTCCGCCATCAAAAAGGGGGTGTGGCCACTCCCCTATAGTCTATAGGATTTGCGGTGAGCGACCTATGCATAATTAGGTCTACATTGAAGAACATAGAAAAAATGTTTAATGAGCTATCCCAATGAGATTTTGCACACATATACTTCAATAAATTATGCAGGCCTACAATTAATAAGAAAGACCTACTTTGAATATTTCAACCAAATTTTTTGATGCAAAGATGCCTTATCTCAAAATACAGGTCGATTGAAAAATTAAAACAAATCAGTGTAAATGTAGGCCAAGACGTCTACCTAAATATAAGGCCGGAAACGGAACTCAAATATATGTCAAAAGTAATCATTTAATAATAAATAGACACACACATCGGAAAATTAAAAACGCAGATTTTTCGGCACTGATTGCCATTTCCGATTCACAAAAAATAGTAGTCTCCCTTGGTTTACCGAAGTATCTAGTATAGGGTTCAGGTTAGGTTTAGGGATACATTTAGTTGATTTACGGTTCAGGTTAGGTTTAGAGTTTACATGGGGAAAAAATATGGCATCCATTCTTTGCATTACCACGTATGCAATTCAATTATAATTTAAAAATTTTGTGCTAATTATTAGTTGTTTTACCTCTGCTGGGTCTCCTTCATCAGCATCAGAATCATGAGGTTTATTAGGCTCTGTAGATTGATTTTCAGTATTCGGTAATTTCTTTTTAATTTTCCTCTTAACTTTTTTTATTTCGGCATCACCATTGAGTTCACTAGATCTAGGAGACATTGGTGGTAATCCCTTCTTTTTCACATTCTTCTTGGTAGATACTAAATTTGCTTCATTGTCGCCATCCGCCATTTTTGTTGCTACGGAAGTTGCAAGTCTCATAAAAATGATATGATATTCAAAGGCATGAACTCCGTACAAACCACAAGGTTTGGTAAGTTACGTACACCGTAACTTTTATATAATTTCAATAAAGGATATGCTTTAAATTTTTTCTGAATACAATCTAAAAAAATTTGATGTAAAAAATAATATTGTAGTATTGTAGACATTTTTTATAACTTTCCCCATTCATTTTTAATTTTAACCCATATATATGGCCATATTGTGGGGAATATAAATTATAGAAATAGTTCTTCGGGGTCGTGACATGCTAAATAGTACTGAGCAGGGCTTGACAGCTTTTTTATCACACTTCAGAATAGTCTTAAATGCATATTTTACTATGACACTAACATCACGATAATTTATCCAATCCTAATATTCACACCCACAAAGCTAATTGAAAGTTAGGGGGGGGGGGTATCTACTTCAGTAGCGATTGACAATTTTTATATGTAATGCAACGTTGAAATTGGCTCAGTCAGATGCCATCATAAAAACGTGACCATCCCGCTAAAAACGTCATTTATTCTTTTTAGGCTTTGGGGCTTAATTCCTAACCAACCCTAAATTGTGACACTGCGCCTTGCAAGAGTTGTGGTTGTAAGTTGTCACCCGTCCTAAATCTCACAAGATTAACTTTTAAGCCAATTTTTGTGTAAAGAGTTGTAACATCCACCACCTGTACCATGCCCATGCTAAGAGACCGTGCACATATATAACGCGAATGGGGTAGGGGTTATCATTGTATTGTGTTAATATGAGGTGGGGTTGGTAGAGAGCAATTTTATATAACAATTCTTTTTATTTAATTTGTTTCATTGATTATTATATTAGCAAAATTTCTGCTTCTTCAATGTATATCAATTAGCCTAGATTACTGAAAACAAAATGTATCTTTTGCTTAAAATAAAAAGCACATTTTTAAGTACAAAATATATTTTTTTGTTTTTTGCTTGAAATTTGCTTGTTTGGAAATGATTCGTTTTTATCTGTATGTGTGTGTGGTTGCTCGAAATCGTATATAATATTTGGGGAAGGGGGGGGGGGGTCCAATGGGTATGCTATATTATATAAAGTAAAAAAGGGGAAGGGGGGGGTAATAAAAAAAATTATGTGTGTGTGGTTCCTCGAAATCGTATATAATATTTGGGGAAGGGGGGGGGGGTCCAATGGGTATGCTATATTATATAAAGTAAAAAAGGGTAAGGGGTGGGTAATAAAAAAAAAGTATCATATTTTTGTGGTTCTATGATAATATGTGTTAAAAATTTAGTTACCCGGTACCTTTATTTAGTTAAATTACACCATTTTTTATTTTGAAATGAACATATTTCTCTTTTTTTAGAAAAATGTAAACAAAAAATTCAGAAAAATAATATTTACTATTTACAATTTTATTGGATTAATGTGAGTGGGATTAATTTTTTAACTAAATCAAATAAATTGTGTTAACTTTGTGTGTTATTTGGGAAGATTATGTGTTAAAATGTACAAAGACTTGCTTAACAACTCAATTTTATACATTTAAACGTGAAAAGCAAAACAAAACAAAAAACCCACCACCCCCTCCCCCTCCTAAACGCTGTGTTAGCATTGGCCCTCTTCTGCGCTGAAAAACAAATTCCTATCGAGCAGTTAAAAAAACGAAGTTTGTCCACAATGCAGTGTTGTGCTAAATTTATTTCTGAAAGGCCTAAATAAAAATAAAATAGAGTAAATAGGCTATAAATTGTTACCTTACATTTTTACGAGGGCTGTGCTGCATTTACCTATGGTTGAGAATTATAAATTTTATATGGCGTCATCTAGAGAAAATTAATAGAGTTTATTTATATTTAGGCTTTTAATTTAAGACCAGCCGGCCATTGCCATTAGCGCCAGTTCTATTATGTATGTAACTTATAACTAGCTGCTTAACCCGGCGTTGCACTGGTGTTTTATAGGGGGCATTTATTTTAATTGTCTCTAACACCCAGGTGTTCAAATTTGAAGCAATCTACCTCCTTGTAATCAAGTTTAAAAGGATTTTTTTCCAAACACTACTTGGTTGTACTTACTACTTCAACTTCACATTAATAATTAAAAATTAAAAGATTATGATTATTCATGTCATGCCCATGGGTTAAGTAAGGAACGCACTAAAATAAGGGATTACCTAAGTAAGTTCCAGATCTCTAGTCTAGAATAACCTAAAACTAAATTTGTAAATAAATACTAAATATTATTATTTGTTTAGGCTCTCAATACTCTCCTCATAATTATAGATTATAGTGGATTTACTGCTCATCTTTTCTTTCCCATTTTGCCTGTTTTAATCTCTCACCTACTTATTTTCTGTCACAATTCTTTTACTGCCCTCTCGTAATACTACTTTTCAGCTAAGTGACTAATAAGTGCTTTTTTAAAATTTAATTCTGTTGTTTGTTCACTGATTAATGAAGTCTTCCTGCCGACACGTTAGTTGTTATGTTCATTCCTTTTTTCAGGTTTTCCCCATACTATAATATACTTTGTTTTACTCATTTCCGATAATTTCCTCATAATTACAATCTGATATATATAATATAAGGGCTTTATAATATTTATAATCATTATCCAACAGCTTGTGCTTCTAAATCTAGTTTTATTGGTCTGGGTGGGCATAATATAACTACTAATAACTACAAATATAAATTTTAAATAGCCTAATTATTAAATCAACAAAGTTTTTCAAAGACTGCGATTTATAATTCATAGATTTCCAAGTAACAGAATCAATGCTCATTGATGAGTGACAAATTGGTAACAATGCAAACTCAGTAGTAATAAAAATTACATTATGATTAATTATTTATAATAAATAATAGTATCAATTATCATAGCCTGATTGCTGTTAATAATTGATACTATTAACAGCAATCAGGCTATGAAATATTTTCAATATTCATAGTCTATAGCTGCTAACTTACCTGTGGTGAAAATATCACATTTTAAATAAAAATTTTATCGTGTTCTCTGTTGGTCTATATAAGATTTTTTTTTTATAAGTTTACTAAGACTAATTAATTTTGATACAATAAATTATCATTTAATAATTATTATGTCATCATCATCCCTTACTGTCCTTAATGGAATGTGGGCTTTCAAGGGTCTCCCTCCATTTTCTCAGTACTGCACTGCACTTTAAAAGTATTCTAAATTCTTCCAAATCACTCCCATCATTCCAGACTCACTAGAATAGGTCTCTTCTCCATGTGATTATACAGTCTACATATGTTTTAATAATATAAAAAAAAAATTCTACATATTTTAAATTGCAATGCTCTATTATGTACGAATTTCACCACAATAGTTTTTGTATATCTGATCTAATTCTAAAAAAAAATTACCTCTTGTGAAGGACTATAGATTATTATTATTAGTAGGACTTTACATTTACACATTTACTATATTTATAGTATAATGAAGGCCTTTCTTTTGATCAAAATTCAATTACTAGCTTTGGTTATCTCAGTCACTGAAAGCAATCAATTAATTTAGTGAAAACAACATTTAAAAATAAATGATACAATTATAACATGCCTACTTGTTCTAGTTATTATTTTATGTGACCAACTAATTACTCAAATATTTTAATACTAACATGATAAATAAAAATAGCCTGATAATAATATGATTGAAAAAAATAATTGAAATAAGCCTACTTATCTATCTATCGGCCTTTTAAAACACCCAGTTACCTACTTTAAAAAATATTTATTATCATTATGGATATTTTAAAGTTTTATATTATTTTAAAATCATCTGAGTTTATTTCTTTAACTTAATAATTACTTTTTATTCACCACAGATTTTACAGAGTGAATGAGAGAATGTCTATAATCCCATCTGCCCTACAGCAATATTTGAACTAGTTTAGTCATTTAAGTGCATTATTTGAAAATACAAACAATATTAGTCATACATACGGTGCATTATAAACATGGAGACCTCACAGCAAGAAAACTTTTTGATTCCCAACAAAGAATCCAATACTCAGCCTGAAGAAGATGATGATGTTGTAATTATGGAACAAGAAGATATTGAAAAGTATGACAGATCTAAATATAGAGAAAGCTTGAGTGACATAAGTAAGGCTATACAGATGGGTAAAGATATTGGGAAACAAACAGAGCAAGAGCTTGCTTTACTCAGTAAAGAATTTGAGGATATGGAGGTATGATAAACCTATTCTGCATTTTAAAAAATTGATCTTTTATTCTTGTTAATCATTTCAAAATATGTTCGCAAATTCTTATGACTTAAAGCTATATATATATATATATATATATATAATACAATGTTATATTGTAATTAAAACTCTCACTATTGAACCAGATGCAATTTTTGTTAAAGTGAATGTCTTTTCTCAGGTTAATCTCAGCAATGCTGTTTACCAGAGTCTACAATTCCTTGTAAAAAATCCAAAATGTACAATAGATTTACCAGTGGATGAAAAGGGATTAGACAAAATGATAATGGACACGCTGGAAGGTTTGGCAACAGATGAGCTTGGTGATTTGACACCTGAAGAGTATGAGACCATTAATGGAAAGCTGACACTTCTTGAAAGTATGATTGGGAACAAATTTTGCAATGTAGTTGTGTTAAATAAGCTTTAGTCCTTTTTTTTTTTTTTTTTAAGGAAAGCATTTTAATTATTTATATCTCTCAAAATTCTTTTTTGCAGTAAATTCCAGACACACACAAAATTAAATATTTATTTCTTTGTATTGTGTTAAATAAGCTTTAGTCCTTTTTTTTTTTTTTTTTAAGGAAAGCATTTTAATTATTTATAGCTCTCAAAATTCTTTTTTGCAGTAAATTCCAGACACACACAAAATTAAATATTTATTTCTTTGTAAGAAAGGAAAATCAAAATTACTAGACATATGAAATCCTTTTTATCAATGTGCTTAGAAAAATGTAAATTTATTTTTACCATAAATTTTTTGGTCACCAACTAAGCACTCCTTTATAAAAATAACTAATTATTGACCAAAGTTTTTAATTTAATTATTGTTTTAAGTTAACTTTTTTTCAATACTCACTAAATGTTTTGATGTGACAGACCCAAGTTTTTTAGCATGGCTTTTTCTGCAAAATCTTGAATATAATAAGTTATAAATTACTTTTCTGCAAGATAAAATCAAGAGTGCATAGCATTGATAAATGAATAACAAAGAATTTACTTTTGGTAAAATATGTCGCTAGAGATTTGTCATGGAAATAATTATTAAAAGGGTAATTAAAAATAGGCGTTTAAAAAGAATAAGACTAAAATTATGACTGTTCTTGTCATTACACTCAATCACAATATTAAAAAGTGTCTGCTGAAACAATTAATGACATAATATACATATAATGTTCAGAAATGCAGAAAACTGTATTTCAAAGTTAACAATATTATATAAGCCCATTTATTGAACATCCACATCCAACTTAAGTATTCTTTTTGCTTTCACAGAAGCCAATCAGGCAGTTTCCAAACTTTTCTTAGACTGCCATTCACAACTAAAGATGTACAGACAAGGACTTGTTCAAGAAAATGCAGAAATAGATAAAAGGTGAAAAATCATCAATTTACCATAAACTATTATCATCATTCTATTTAAAACATATTTTTTTAAAATTTCTCTGTTCATTGAATAATACGTACAAGTATTTTGAATCCTACTTTACTAATAGAGACTTCTTAATAACACTTTTGTTAACCTCAGTTACATATTTTTTTCCCACATTTCATTTAATTTCAAGAATTGCGGAATATGAGAAAACAATGAGTGATACCTTCCTCCTAATAGACAGTGATGATGAAGACAACAATGGTGTTACCATCCTGAAGACCTCAGCGTCCGCCCAGCCAGGGAAAAGGTATAACTGACTGTGAAAATCAACAGTATTTTTATCATTAGTAATAATATATTTTTTAATGGCTTTTATTTGAAAGTTTTTTTATGTGTGGGAGATTGCCACAAAAAAATTGTTTATTTGTTAAAATATTTATCAAAGTTTTTAATTTAAAAAAAATATATATATATATATTTTAAAATATACGGCTGTGTAAAATATATATCTATACAAACTACCTGGCCCTGTATTTATATGAGAAAAACTTAATACTTATGATCCATGTGACTTCCGGGGCGCTGCTCTGCAGGCGACTCGATTGCACCAGTGCATGTTCTTCAGCTTTTCACAGTTTTACATGTTTTATTTAATTGTATTTTCACTCAAGTTGTAGTGGATGTGCTAAGTCCGTTTTTCTCGTGAGTTTTTTTATGTTCTCTCCATGGGAAACAGCTTTAATTTGGACTTTAGATATCAAGTAACTCAGAATAGTAAAGAAATGTCACTTCCGCCATTTATGTAAACTTCCGCCGTGCCAACAAAAAAATGGCGATCCATTCACGATCTAGACGAAGAAAGAGGGGCAGAAGGGGAGGCATTCGTGTAAAATGCAGAAACAGAGGACAGCGGGGCTTTCTTCCACCTGTTGTTTTGGGAAATGTCAGGTCACTGTGTAACAAGATGGATGAACTGGATTGTTGCTGTAAGAATTTCTATCAATTTCGCAAAAGCTC